AGCTACATGTAAAAGAATGAAATTAGAACACTCCTTAATACCATATATAAAAATAAACTCAATATGGATTAGAGACCTAAATGTAAGACCGGACACTATAAAACTCTTAGAGGAAAATATAGAGAACACTCTGACATAAATCACAGCAAGATCTTTTTTGATCCACCTCCTAGAATAATGGAAATAGAAACAAAAATAAACAAATGGGACCTAATGAAACTTAAAAGCTTTTGCAAAGCAAAGGAAACTACAAACAAGCCGAAAAGACAACTTCAGAATGGGAAAAAATATTTGCAAATGAATCAATGGACAAAGGATTAATCTCCAAAATATATAAAGAGCTCATGCAGCTCAATATTAAAAAGACAAACAATCCAGTCCAAAATGGGCAGAAGACCTAAGTAGACATTTCTGCAAAGAAGACATACAGATGGCCAAGAAGCATATTAAAAGCTGCTCAACATCACTAATTATCAGAGAAGTGCAAATCAAAACTACAATGAGGTATCACCTCACAGCAGTTAGAATGGGCATCATCAGAAAATCTACAAACAACAAATGCTGGAGAGGGTGTGGAGAAAACGGAACCCTCTTGCACTGTTGGTGGGAATGTAAATTGATACAGCCACTATGGAGAACAGTATGGAGGTTCCTTAAAAAACTAAAAATAGAACCACCATATGATCCAGCAGTCCCACTATTGGGCATATACCCAAAGAAAACCATAATTCAAAAAGAGTCATGCACCCCAATGTTCATTGCAGCACTATTTACAATAGCCAGGTCATGGAAGCAACCTAAATACCCACTGACAGATGAATGGATAAAGAAGATGTGGTACATGTATACAATGGAATATCACTCAGCCAAAAAAAAGGAACGAAATTGGGTCATTTGTAGAGACGTAGATGAATCTAGAGACTGTCATACAGAGTGAAATAAGTCAGAAAGAGAAAAACAAATATCATATATTAACACGTATATGTGGAACCTAGAAAAATGGTACAGATGAACTGGTTTGCAGGGCAGAAATAGAGACACAGATGGAGAGAACAAACGTATGGACACCAAGGGGGGAAAGTGGAGGGGCGGGGGTGGTGGTGTGATGAATTGGGAGATTGGGATTGACATGTTTACACTGATGTGGATAAAATGGATGACTAATAAGAACCTGCTGTATAAAAATAAATATAATTAAATTTTTTTAAAAAGCAGTCCTTATTCACCATCCCATTTCTCAAAATTCCCATGAGTAAGGTAAATGCTGATGATTCCTAAATCTGATTTATTTATGAAATCAACAAATATTACTTGAGTGCCTAGGAAGTATCAGACACGACCTAAGGCGCTAAAGATAGACTACGGTCTTCCTCTACAGAGATTATTATCAATTATGGAAAACAGCAAGTCTAACAACATGTACGAAAGAGGAAGATAAGTGTAATAAGTATAGGTTGCTATGGGAGAAGAAGAGGCAGCCTAATTTGGGTCAGAGAAAAGGTAAGAACACCTCGAGGATGCGCTATTTAAACTAAAATTTGACTTATGGGGAGGAATACGCTTGATGGAATTGGGTGGGAGAAAGACTGTACAGCATGAAGGCAAAGAGTTTGCTGAGCTGAATAACAGCATAAAATATGCAAAGGCTTAAAGAGACAGTCGCCATATAGGACATTAATAAGGAATTAAAAGCAGTTCTGTAGTTGAAGCTTGGGTGGAGGGGGGGGAAGCTGGGGAAGTAAGATAGATACAGGTCAGGAGACGCCCAGGAGCCAAGAAATGAATTGGTACTTTATCTAGAGGCAAAGGAAAACAATTGTGTGGATTTCAATCCAGGATTTTAAACAGCCTGGATTTTTAAGGCTGTTCAACTTGAATATGGTTTTGTAAGACATGGCATAAATTCCTGTGTGCTGCATCACATTCTATGCACATAATATGGGGTGTGAAAAATGGTAGATGTGTGTCTGGACTTGACCTTTCTCAAGGAAATCTGCGTAGTACTTTTTAAAGCAGCAAAGAGTGATGGAAGAAGGCAGTACACCATGCGTCAGTTACTAGGTAACAACAATGACAAAACGCTGACAGAGGTGAGGATGATGTCTCCTCGGGTTGTGTCAGGGAACAAGAGAGACAAGCAAAGGGATCCCATGAGCTCACTGGTACTTGCACATAAGAACGGCCGCACGTTTCACTTCTAGAGTTGTTCTCTCCAAACCCCATTGCACGCAGACAATAGGGGAGTTGAACCACATCATTTATCCTGGTCCCCACATGGGGTCAGGTTGGCACGTGACAACAACCGGGGGCTGAAGAGTCAAAGGGGCTAAAGAGGATCTATTTTACCCCCTCCCCTTAGGACTTGGGTCACTTGAAGAATGTACACAAGTTCTATGAGTCTCAGCCTTCCCAACTTTCTAAACGTGGTGACAATTGCTACCTTGGAGGGTATTTTGGAGAAGTTAAAAAGAGTGTGTACGAAAGGTACCTCGACTCTCCCTTGACATCTGGTAGGCATTCGATAAGAGGTGGCTCTGGCTGTGATGCTATCAGCTCCATTACCATATGAGAAAGCATGGGGAACAGAGAAGGTAGAAGAAACAGAAGTTTGTTCATAAGACATTGGTGCCTTGGGAGCTACTCTGTTGAATCTGAATTCCTTGAGTGGCAGAAAGTAAATAAATATTCTCAGCCTGAGGGTATGTGTTCGGCAATTATTTCACAGTTGATATTCACACAGATAACAGGACTATGACCGTTAATTAAGTATTCACTGAGTAGCCTTTTTTCCCCCAAACAAACATATAATTAAGATGTCAGGATGTGCGCGCGCGCGCGCGCGCGCGCGCGCGCGCGTGTGTGTGTGTGTAGAGATTATCCCTCTGTAACACAGAGTCATAGAATTAGGAAGTTGAAAGGGTCCTTCTGTTATATACCACAAGTTTAATAGAATAATTCTGTGGCCAAATAACAGTCAATTTATTCTCCATTCAACGTTGCTAATCTAATTCTATTCGAGTACGTGAGATTCCTAATGCCTAAAATAGGTAATTCATTGCTCTTCTAAGAGAAACTTAAGCCAAATGAACTTATGAAGCCAAATAAGCCAAATCTGTAAGTATGTGTGGTTCAGAGGGGGCTCGATCCCATGAAGACAGGAACAGTACCAGAACATACGTGCAGAATAATGTGACTGAATGAGAAAATTAATGCCATGCTTATATCTGAGTTTTGTTACTTCCCACAGATGTGTCATGCTCCATCAGCACCCAATCCTTCCAACAGCCTCGGAAAAATTCCTAGAGAGCTATTAGAAGGTAAATCAGTAAGCCCTCTCATTTCATAGAAGATGCAAACTATCACTTGCACAACTAACCAAAAGCAAGAGCCTAAAAGATTATAAACGAGAGGGAGAAAGTTATATTAACCATAATTAATTAACTTTCGTTAAGAAGGAAGCTGTATTTGTTCAGGAAAAATCCCTTAGGATAGAAGGTGAGACCCCAGGTCCAGTTTGCCTTAATTTGGGTAAAATTATTCCATGCTAGACAAGGTGGCAAATGTATCCAGGAGGGGAGAAGAAAAGAGAGAAAAAGAAGATGGTGGAAGACTGCATACTCTGCAAGGTGTTTCTTTCTTGTGAAGCTCCCAAATATTTGATAAAATTGTTAAAACTCGCCAAAAGCTCAAAAATATATATTTTTATAAAACTCAGTGAAGAATTTTGTACCATGTTTTGGGTGAAACCAAATCTGTAAGCTTGGGAACAGGGGACAGGGGAGGGGGAGTACAGAGAAAAGCACAGGGGAGGATGCTTATTCCAGGGCACTGGAATTGGATCTGGGTCCAGTTTAATCAAATCCTTACAGGACAGGTGCCATGGGTTAGGTGGGTACACAATTTTTTGATTAGTGGCCAGTGAATGTAAATTTATCGGCTAAAAATTTCAGCCACAAACTACACGGGGCACTTATTTTACATTTATAAAGTTATTTGCCCTAAAGCTCTGCTGCTTGAGAGATGGGCATACACAAGTCATTTTAAAATAATGGTATCACGTAAAAAGAATTTTTCTGGCTTGTGGTCAATTTTTAAATGATTTTCCCTTAATGGATTAAAGGACATCCATTGCTGACCCTCACTCTACCACAAAGAGAAACTCAGGCTCTCCTGAGATCAGCAAATGGCTACTCGGTGTTCGTGGAGAGAGTTCCTTTGTGAAAGGTCTCTACTCAGTATTCGACAAATATCGTTGTTTTCAGAATGTTTCAAGCCAGGAAAGATCAGTACACATTTTAACAGTAACTTTATTTGCAGCCCTTTCCAACAGAAAACTCGCCTGCAAAGCAGACCACAAAAGTGAAGTGCCTATTACAGGATAAATGAGGCAGCTTTCTTATTAAGTGTTGTCCAAGCATCATTAGTTTAATGCCTTCACTGTACATGCCAAAGAACAAGAGATGACAGTCACCAACACAATGCCGGCACACAGGTTAGCGATTCCAAAACCAACCCACCTAATAGAGAAGGTCAGAGGAAAAGAAGATAATAAAGGAGGAGGAAAGAAAATAGCTTCCTGTGGACTGAATCAATTTACACCCCAATAGGTCTTAAAGTTGAGTCCCTTTTTTTTAGTAGAGATCTTAACAATGTCAAGTTCCCATATCAAGTGCTGTCCAAGGAAATCCTGAAATGATTAGCATCTACCATGGAAGAGTAACATTAATAGGCCCTGAAATCCTCCTTCAATGAGGATATATATTTGGATGCCCCTCTTCAACCAAAGATTAGTCAAGCAGGATGGTTTTCTCCTCCGTCAACTATAATAGAATAACCTACACACCTACAGAAACAGTTTCTAGAACTTATTTGTTTCTTTGCCGTGTTCCAAGTCCCAGAAATAAAAATGATCTTTCCCATGGGGTTCCCCTGCTCCACAATGATCTTTGACCCACCCTTTGTTAAAGGGTCCTGGGACAGGAGGAAGACAGTGGACTCACCATTTGATTGCTGTACCAGTACAGTGATGATCCCTTCAGGACCACCCAGAACTTTTTCCATTTGTTGCCTAGGAAAGTTCCTTTTTCCTTTTTCTTACATAGCCACCCTTGGCAGTCAGCGTGCCCCAGGTCTTTACATGATATCCTCCTCCGACTCATGGTGAAAAAACCTGCAACAATTATGTGAAAAGGTAGGTAACATTGTACCTTGATGTATGTGTTCGCTGTTTACCTCCAGGAAGTTCGATTTTTGTACCAAGATTTATGCAAAGCAAATGCAAAAAGAAAGTAATTTATCGATTTTATTTTTAACCATTCATTTGGTGCTTAGAAGGTACAAGATATGATCAAAGAAACACTGAGACTTACATGCAAGTGTTAGTCTAAGAATATTCTTCAATGGAATAAGCTGAAAACATGAAAATCATGAGTCTGGCAGGCACATCACTGCACTAACACAGCTTGTTTCAACAATAGCAGTAGTTATGCAAGAGATGCAAAAGGGTTAATGCCCACCTAGAAACACGGCCACTTCCCCGACTCAGTGCCCGTCTTTCTAAGCTCTATTGACATAATACCACGGGGGATGAATCCAAATGCACAGCATGCCGTCATTTCTTAAAATCGATCCAAAAGAACCCCAAATTCATCTGCCATCCACCTTCTGATATTAGCATTAAGACAGACAAAAATCAGATCCTGAAGAAGGCATCCAGGAGAAAAGGACTCTCACACACACACAAACGGGATAAAGAAACAAAAGATCTAATTACCTTTAGTTTTCTTTCTCTGCTTCTGACGCAAGGGAACCTGCTGGAAATGCAGGAAGGAAAGAAAAGAGGAAATTTCTGATTGTGTTGTAACATTTGTAAGGAGAGAAAGAGGGAGGAGGTGGCAGTATGTATGAGCAGGATGGAAGCTAAAAAAAAAAAAACTCTCCAAGCAGAGCTAAAGGGGAGCTACTAGCTGAGGCACAAAATGTGCTAATTAGAATCAATAGACATGGAGCTGCACCTGAAAAAAATACGTAACAGCATTTATCACTAATGTTTCCTGTTTCCACCCACAGGCATCTTTCTCACTACCGCTTTAGTTATGACAGGACACCGTCCACTCAAGTTCTTAAAAATAATAAAAATATTTCCCTTTTTATTTTTTTGTGAGAGAAGACAAAATTATGTTGTGCTTCTTTTTGTGCCATTTCTAAATAACAGCAATTATTTAAATAAACCTGCAAGATAAGCATTGCAATGTCACAATACTACAGGTTCACATCAGATTGTTAAATTCATGGTCCTGCTAATACCATGGGGTTGCATCTAAGGCACATGAAGTAAACATCCCAGAAAAAAGAAGTTCCACAACCTCTTTTGGTGAGATCTAAGCACCTATCAAACCCCCTTATCAGGAAATTCTTATTTACATCTAGATTTAAATTACATATTGCCTTAAGTATCTCTGAATGTTTCTCGTATGTTTTATGGAAGATAAATTAATTGCCAATTTCTACTTGATACTAGCTCTTCAAATATGCAAATCAGACAAAAGACAATCTGAAATACATGTTTTTCACAATACATTTTAAACAATTCATGTAAAATCATCAGACTATCAGCAAAAATAGAAAACAACAAAAAAAAATGCTTTCAACGGCTGTGTGTGTGTGTGCAGAGAGAGAAACATTTTAGATTAAAGAAGTTTCATTTTTTCCTCCACAATATCTAAACCGAATTTAGTCAAGTTTAATTGACTTAATCTTTTCTGGTAACAAGTGGAGAATTTGAAAAACATTGTACATAATTGAAAAGCAGTTCTAAAAATTGGTATGCAATCTTATTACAAGATTTTATAGTGTTATTTTCGACATACCTGGCTAGTATTCTCCATATCTAACTATTGATCTAATAGCTACAATGGTTCTATGATATGTTTGAAGAGGGAATATGACAGAGCGGAAATAAAATGGGATTTTAAAATCCAGAGGCCTGAAATCAACTCACGGTTGTCATACGTAGTAGCTGTGTTACCCGGGGAAAAATCCGTTTATTACTCGAAACCAACTTCCTCATTTGTAAAATCAAGATATTTATAATAATTCCAATCCTGTAGGTCTCAAAAATATTTAACAAGATTGTACCTGAAAATGCACTAAACACTAAAAATACTTTATGTGACTATGTACTATAATACATGATTACAGATATAAACCAGTGCTTCCTATCTAATAAAAATTTCCTGGTTTTCAGGATAGGTAGGATTTGTATTTCCTTCAGCAACAATGATGAAGTTAAAGTGCTTAAATTGTATTTCCTGGGAAATCCCATACCGACTTTTTATTTTACAAATGTTAGAAGAAAATTTTATTCCTGAAGAAATTAATCATCCTTGTGAAGAAAGGACACGACAAAGCCAATAACTGCTCTAAATTTTAGTCAAGAGTAGACATGCTAAAGTCATAGCACACAGCTAAAATTTAGGCATTTTTGACCAAGTTCTAGTCTCAGCTCTGCTTCATAAGATATCTCCCACACTGACCTGCATCTTGGTCTAAAATTCCCACCATTCCCTCAAATGGTCTCCTGGAGTCTTTTCTATAGGCAATTATCTGAGGTCAGCAAAACCTATTAACAAAATATATTAGCCCAAATATCTTGTTTGCATAATGTATACCATTTGGATAGCTAGAACTTAGCTGAGAGCCAGGACTAAAGGTGAAGAAGAAAGTAAGTCAATTTAGAGAGTGGGAACACTTTTAGAAAATCTGGGCTCCAGGAGGCCCCAGGAAGCACTCAAGACAAACTAAGAACCAGGGGAATAGGGAGAAAAGGGAGTTGTAGACAGACGCATTCCTAGAACGTTCTGGCCCCATGTGAACAAGGTAAATCACATTAGCTCATACAAAAAGAGCAGCTCTGATAAGAAGAGACAGAGGAAGTAGGAGAGGACACAGCTGTAGGATCTGTAAAGGGAAGCATCACCCACTCCAAGCCTCCTGACTGGGAGCCAGTGAATCTCCTCCATCCACTGCTTATGGGCTCCCAGTGCAGCAAGGGCTCTCCAGCTCTACCACCCAACCTTATGGCTGGTTCTAGAGAAAGCCCCCTATCAAACTGTAGGCTCTGTCTCAACTTTGCCCCAAACCAGGCCTCCGTCTACGCTAGATCCTTGCACCTGGGCTGGATGAGAAGTGGGGCTCTAAGCAGGACAATACCTCAAGCAATGTGAGCACCCAACACGAGAGGACTTTATTCAGACTTTTTTAAAGGGGGGCAGGGAGTTTAGTCATTGAGCCCTCCTCAGGCAGTACTACTGCTAAGGCAAATTATCGTTAAATCTATATAACTGTTCAAACCGTTTCCCCCAACCAGAAGCAGAACTGCATATTACAGAAATGATAAATTAGAGAGAATTTCAGTTTCACTTGAAATATATGAATTTGAAACCTAAATTGGTTTGCATGAAAGAATGAAAACAATCTTGAGAACTTTAGTGAGTTTGAGATACATCTAACCCCTCACAACAGGAAATGGAACCCACGAGCTAGTCAGTTTCATGAAGATCTTACATGTGGTTTATTTCACTAGGTGAGTGACAGAAAGCCAAGCAAGCAGTGTACATTTTATGAGACAGTTTTTCCATAGGGAATTATAACAATCATAACAAATATCCGAAGCCTAATAAGATATTTTTCTCGTCCAATTTTCTTCCCATTGGCATGTTGTAGGTAAAACTGAAGAATTACTCTAAATTCTGAATTTGCCCTAACTTGGCTCTAAAACTTGAGAAAATTTTCTCTTTTAAATAAATAGTTCCTTTTTATTGAAAAAGACTATTTTTCTTTTACTTTTTAAGGTGGTTAAAAAAATTCACTTGGTCATTAATCACTCAAAATCACACATTGTATAAACTTAAAAAGGAACCAGTGTAAAATATACAAATGGACCTCCTCTGATATTGAATGATGGTGCTCACAACCAAGATCAGGGTAATTATTATATTGACTTCTAATATATATAGTAATTATTAACTCTTACAGGTACACTTTACCCCCCATGATATATTAAAATTCACCATAATGTGGTTTGTCATTACATCAAACTTCACAATGGTCCTGGTATTAAGCAAAATTATATAGTGTTATGCTACTCTTAATTTGTGGCATTTACCCAAGTTCCATGGTGTAAACCTTCACGATTGCCAATTTTAGCACTACTTTAACGAAGCCACAACAATTCCTAAATATTTTAGATCCAAGCCAGCTCCAGCTGATAAAGCTATCAGGCATGCTTCTCCACAAACACCTTTGCCCCACAAACATCTTTCCTCCTTCCTGGCAAATTAAACTCAACTTTGTAAAGAGAATTTTAAAGCTTTTATATATTAAAATTTTACCTGTAAAAATACATGAAAAACTTGCTTAGTTTTTTTCAGAAGACTAACCACTTTAATATTACTTAATAAGTGAATATGAAAAGAAAATCTCTAATAGTGAAAAATGAAGACAGATAAGAGACTTTATAATAACAATAGACAGTAATTGAAAACAATGATAGCTAAGAAATATATATAAAGCTTATACTCATATAATGTTTGCCATAGGCCAGTCACTGCTCTGAGTCTTTTCATAAATACCTGGATTGAATTCTCACAACATTTATGGCTTAGGTGCTATTATAATGCACATTTTACAGATGAGGAAACTGAAGCAAACGGAGGTTCAGTATTGTGCCCAAAGTCACAAGAGTAAATGGTAAAATGCAAATATTTGTTTCAAGAGTAAAATTCACAAAGCAGTAAGTAGCCTTTAAGGTATTTGCTTTTGTTGTTGATGTTGTATAAAGGAGGAGGGCAGAGAAGCAAGGACTAGAGTCTGAGAGGAAGCTGGAAGCAATGGCACTTTCTACACAGAAGAGAAATTCGAGAAGTATTATAAAAGAAGGACTACGGGGCTTCCCTGGTGGCGCAGTGGTTGAGAGTCCGCCTGCGGATGGAGGGCACACGGGTTCATGCCCCGGTCCGGGAAGATCCCACATGCCGCGGGGCGGCTGGGCCCGTGAGCCATGGCCGCTGAGCCTGCGCGTCCGGAGCCTGTGCTCCGCAACGTGAGAGGCCACAGCAGTGAGAGGCCCGCGTATCGCCGAAAAAAAAAAAAAGAAAGACTAGGACGAAGGGGAAGAAGAAAGAGAGAGGAGAAAAGGAAGGACGGACAGGAAGCTGAGGGGGAAGAGGAGGAGGAATTTAGAACATGGAAAGTGAGGGAGAGCAATGTGCCAGGGAAA